TGGCTTTTGCATCAACTCATTTGCAACCCTAATTTGCAGAAACTCGCCTGTCAGTATGCTCAGCCCGACTTTCATCAGTCATCAGTCATCACTAAGCATATCATGCACTCACCACGTTGCTCGTAGATCATCATTAGGGCAAAGACAGCTTCGATCCCCGACTCAACTTCTGCCTCATCTGATGAGTCGAATTGCTACCAATGGTTATCTCGAGGTTTTCGCATGTTTATTCTTACGGAGTTTGCAGGTTAGTTAATGACAATGAAACTATTTCAACTCGTGAGATGTGTTTTTTCCCATACCTCTTTGAAATTAAGGCTAACCCCACTTGGTACTATTCATAAGGAAATGACGCGTTTTTGCCTTCATCTTACCGAGTAGGCAAAAGCATTTCCTACGGGTTAAAGTAGTTGCATCCCAGAAACCGACCACGTGCCATTGGCTTCTTCGAGAATCAGGATTCCACAATTTCGACTGTCTACCGAGCTCCCAACAGCTGCCACTGTTCTGCCTTGCTCCAGACGAGCCCAACGTTTCGACGTTGCAAAATTTTCATGGGTAATCCAACTGAGGTCCGGTTTTGCGGAGGTCAGTGTTTAAATCCAGGTAATGAACCGGATCTTTTGAGAAAGTGTTCCGTATTATTGATTCTCAAAAGAAGTCACCCTCGTCCATTCGCATCTTGAAAATAGCGTACATCTACCTACCTGAAAATATGTTCTCATAAAATGTGCGTGTTCATTCGTGTTAATTTCACCTTTTTTTTCTGGCGCCAACCCGGCCTAGCCAGCACAATTGCCGTACTCGTACCATGGAAAAAAGGGCTTCCAGTTGTACCTCCGCCGAGTCGAAGACTGACTGGGCATTCCACTGATCTGTCAAAGCATGCAAATTTTTGCCCAACGAACACAAACGGCGAGGATGACTTATCGATGAACAATACCGCGATGACAATGTGGACAGACAGTGGCGCGATGGCTCAGCGCACTTGGGGATGAAAGTGAACGCGCCGCGCAGAGAAGGGGTTGAAAGGTGGCTGCGACGTGATGGCCGGGGTTGCAAGATATCATGAAAAACTTTGAAATGTTCGATTTACCCTTCGTAAAAATGCTTATCGCTAAATACGCTAAATACTGTCTCATTCAGAAACCACATATCTTTGTGCTCAGACTTGGCCATACAAAATGTCTGTGAATATTTTTGTATGAGGATTGTTTGAAAACACAAATACCTGCATGAAGAACAACCAGAAAAGAAACGTTTATTTGATTTTTGTCAGTGTCTTAGTGGATTTTATGCGAGAACTCCAGGCTGGCTTTCGTTGAATACTTCATCATTGATTCGTAGTTCTATGAACTCAGCCTACTGGTGCTCCGATTCACTGACCCCGGAGCAATCGGTAAAAGTACACAGGAAAAAAAACCACATTGGATCTGGAGTCCAGACTCTTGAAAACATTGATAAGAGAAAGGACTCTTGATTCAATCAGATTTAAGCTTAAATCAAAGGGAAGTCCGCTTAAATTAAGAGGCTTGGTTCTTGATTTAAGCTTAAATCTGATTGAATCAAGAGTATTTTTTCTTGTCGATGCTTTGAAGAGTCTGGGCTCTAGATCCAATGTGTTTTTTTTTCCTAGTGTAGGCTTATTCTTCAACAGCTTCGGGCCCTGCTGCCGTGCTCTGAATTCACCGTAAGATGATAAACGTTTCTGATCAAACTTTTTTCCAACTCCTCAGCGAAAGAAAAAGAGAAAAAAATGTTAAGATGTGCGCTTCAATATTTCTTTAATTGACCACGAAGCAATTTTGTCGCATTCGGCATTCTTAGATCAGAGAGAACAGGGGCCGCATCCCAAATTTTAGGACGGCAACGTTATTATTTATTTTAAAAAATTAAACCATTATGCCGCAAATAAAAAATGTCGCGATCGACAGCAGTAATAGTTTACTTAACTAGGCAACGTTGGCATTAAATCCTGCGTGAGAGAAACAAACAAAGCACCAGTGGCGTGGCGTGCCTCGATATATATCGATATTTCCCCATTTGAAGCAATGGTAGAGAATCGATTATTAAGGTGTTCGTTGCGAACACACTGTTTATCGATTATTTTCTATAGGTTTAAATGGCATGACAATCGATACATCGCAATTCACGCCACGCCACTACAAAGCACGCCTTACTTATTGTTAATGTTGAATGCGACGAACGCGGAATAGATTTCATTTTAACTCTTGGATGCAACTATTCGAACTCCATGGATGACAGTGTGGCATTCGCACGGAATTTCAGGCGTTTTGAATGTCCAGGCACCTACTCTTTCACTTGCAGCCCGCGGCGCGCCAACGAACGGCGGGCTTTACTTCGAGGGTCCAAAATTGCACAGGACTTTCAATTCTTCGTTTTGTACAAATATATCTCCTGGGCACGAATAGTGGTATACAAGTGTAGAAAGTGAGTATTTTTGCACTTCACTTTTGATATTGCGATTCACTGAGCATATTTTTAGAAAAACTATTCATACCTAGGGGATTTCCTCGGAGTATATTTGAAGAATTTGAAGGCGTTCAGTCATTTTAGATCCTCGCAGTAAGCCCGTCGCACGAAGAAACGAGCCTTTCAGAGAAGTTGGACATGAAATATCGACTAAAAAACCACTTCTAAAACCTGTACGTTCCGTATTATAATCGATATGAGCTTTACATGTTTCCTTTCGTCCGACTCCATTCACTGAATCGCTCCACTGGGCGCCACTGGTGAGTATTGAGGCGACGCGACAAGTGTCTGAAGTCAAAACGCCTTCGCTTCCGTGCGTTTGCAACACGGGCATCCATAAGCTACGGAACCTTAGGCGCGTCTGGACGCGGCGTCCTGGACGCCGGCGGAAAATGCTGCTACCGAGTCGAGGGCGAGAAGACGCTCACATTTTGGAGCACGGCACCTTAGGAACGGAATCCGTGGATTTTTTCCGCTCTGTCCGCCGTCAATTTCTCTAATTTTCGTTGATCGGACAGTATGCTCTGGGCCGCGAAAATGGCTGTACGCGCTTTTTTTTAGGAGGGTGTGGATTCGATCTACAAAAATCGACCGAAAAATAAAAACTTGAATCGATCGACACCAATCGATGGACAAATTACTAAAAAACGGGTGTCGATTCGATCGACAAAAAATGATTGACAATTAAAAGGAAAACCGGTATCTAGTCAATCGACATGAATCGATCGAAAAACCAAAACGTGAACCAATCGACGTAATTCGATCGATTCACAACTTGGTCGATCGATTCACGGGTTTGTCAATCAACTCACAGGTTTGTCGATCGACTCTTAGGTTTGTCGATCGATTCGCAGGTTTGTCGATCGACTCATAGGTTTGTCGATCGATTCACAGGTTTGTCGATACACTCACAGGTTTGTCGATCTATCCACGGCTTTTGTCGATTGATTCACGGGTGGGTCGGTCGATCCACGGCTCTTGTCGATCGATTCACGGAATTTTCGATCGATTCGCGGCTTTTGTCGATCAATTCACGGCCTTTGTGATCGATTCGTGGGTTTGCCGAACTAAACACATTCAAAAATCGGTAGGAAAGGCAGCGGACTGAGCGGAATTTCTCGGCGTCTTCGCTCCGATCTGTTCGCGACAGATCGGAGCGTCCTCGATCGGCGTTTTCCGCAGCGTCTCTTCGCCGCTAAAAGGTGCCGTCCCCGCGCAAAAATCATTAGACAGATTTATCGGCGTCTGGACGCCGCGTCCAGACGCGCCTAAGGTTCCGTACCTATAGAGCTCGAATAGTTGCATCCAGGCGTCATCATGACATTTGTTTAGTATCCATCGCATGCGGCACTTACTGAAGCTACGATTGTTTCTCTTAACATCTCAACTTCATTCCAGCGTTGCCTATTATGCCAATGAAGTAAACCATTACTGATTTTTATCGCGAAATTGTTAATTGCCCGAGAAATGTATCATTTAAATGTATCACAATGTTACCGGCCCTCAAAATAGCATAAGAAAATTAGGTTTGAACATGATATGATAGGTTTCCTTTAACCTATTTTAATGAGTTGTGCTTTGTTTGGATTTTTTTTCCTATTTAGGGAGAACTATTTTTGACGTTTCAGTGCGAAATTTTCAAAGAACAACCCTGCTGAATATGTGGAATGTATGTCTTCGAATACCTTATTTATAACATTTTCCTGATCTGAGTTTTTGCACAAAAAATTTGTAGGATTTCCGTAAAAATGGGAAATAAAAATTACATCGATGCTGGAAATACCTAATTACGCATCTTAATTGCGGTGTTTGCAGAGTTCCACTTGTAAATTAGTATTTTTACAGAGCTCAGCTCGATTTTTTGTGCGAAATGCCCGGGAGAAGATTTGCAAGAGCGGAGTATGCGGTATGCCAGTACTCAACCATCGAAATTAAATTTCGCGCAGTGAGGGTAACGTTGAATTGTCGTCTCTAAAATAATTATAGCACTGCTGGAGATTGTCAAGCGTCCACATAGGAAGATGCGTATTTTTCAAGTCCGACAGTCAGTGCGCACCGCCCCATTCTACACCCTCGGGAAATTCATAATCCTCTTAAACGCGTGGTTCCTATCGAACGTCCCATTTACAGAACGGCGTAAGTGGAATACGTTTACGTCGGCGCTTACGCCCTTCCTGAATAATCGTCCAATTCGCGACCCCAGGGCACGCCACGACCCGGCACCCATTGTGCTCTATTGTGCTGGACGACGACTGTTGCAGCAAGTGCAGGGACCGCGGTTGGGCGTGTGCGTCGATGGTGGTGCGTGTGTGTGAGGGTGTACGAGTGTGTGTGCGTGTGGGGAGCATGCAGGAGCCTGGATTAACTCCGCTAGAAGAGAGGAGAGAAGTGAAGGTCTCGCAAGGCCGCTGGTCGGGTTGACACCAGTCAGCAGCATTGCCCCGAATCCAAGCCTCGGATCCTCGACCTCCGTGTAAAGAGAGGAGCGGAGCGCCGAGGAGGGGGGCGGAGAGAGGAGAGGAGAAGCGAGTCGGGTCTCCAGCCAGCAACAGCAGTCATTCCCCGCGCAGGTGGTAGAGAGTCAACATCTGCTCTGACCGCCCAGCCGTCCGCATTTTCGTAAACTGATAGTCGTTTCCTCTCTCCTTTCTCGGCGAATTTCTTTTTTACGATAGTGCATTCGTCTCCTCGCGTTCGGTCTCTCGTTCCCTCGTGCAATCGGTACAGTTGTAAAGCACTTCAAATTCGGATTAGCGCTACGAAAGCCGTACTAAGTGACCCAGGATTGTGCAGTGTGATCGGTGAACCTTCGAATCTCGTCTTGTGTTTTGTGTACAGTTTTTAGCTATCATCGATGGTGTTTTTCGATGACAGGACGGGCACCATGGAGAATGGATGATCCGTCTCCCGATGATCTAGCATTTCGGTTGTGTTAGTGAAGTTGTTCTGGTGAGAAACTTGGATTATTTTGGATTTTGAAATGCGCGAGCTCATGTCAGTGACGAGTGGTGTGGTCCAGGGCGAAAGCCTCGCCTGTGGAGATGCTGAGAAGGGTTCGGATGTGAGTGCGCCCGCTCTGTCGTTGGCAGCCACCCCCGGATATTTGGAGTTGACCAGTGAACAAGCAGCCAGGCTCGTTTGCACCGAGCCCATCGAGAAGTACTACGATGTCGAGGAAGAACCCTTTGCCAGGTGAGTCCACCACTCATTCATGCTGGCATGAATCAGCAGGTGGTCGCCAGATTTTGACAACGCTGCCTACACAGAGGTAGCTTACCCCTGTAGCTTGGTCTATTTTTACCGTCTTAAATGACATTCAACGTTGCCAATAGCATTGCAGTAACGCTGTCTACTAAGTACACCATTGTAGCAACGCTGCTAACCTCATTGCAGAACTGTTGATAACATTATTGTGGCAGAGTTACAAACGTGTCACTGGCGGATTCAGAAACTTCAAACGGGGGAGAGGGGTTGCAGGGGCCACCCCCAAAATTTTTTGAAATTTCAAAGCATCTATTTGATATGCAGTTTGAGTCAATTTCGTCATGACTATTTACCAATTATGAGCGTTCCTCCGTTTCCTCTGACTTTCTTCCCTTTTTCTTCCTCTTTTCCTTCGGGTGAAGGGGGAGGGGGAAGGTTCCTACGCCCCCCCCCCCCCCCCCCCCCCC